TTCCCACTCTGGATGCCTGGGTCCTCTTTTAGGGGAGGTGGGTGCTGACACCCCCCCCTAAATCTCCCCCCCACTCACCCTGTGTCTTCCCACAGACCATGGAGCAGCCAGAAGAGCCGCCCGATGCCTGGGACGGGGATGGGGGGACGGTACCTGGTACCCATGGAGGTGAGCCCAGCCGGGGAGGGGGGGGGGGGGGTAACTGCAAAGCATGATGGGACAGCGGAGGTCCAACGCTGATCAAAGCAGGACCATCTCATCCCGGTTCCTCATGGCTCCTCCCAGTGAAGTCTGAGAACCTTCAAGGATGGAGCCCCACCACATCCCTGGGTCTCTTCCCCAGCTCCATCCCACCAGGGCGGGGGGGACACATGGGACCTCTGAGGGGTCCTTGCTCCAACCTGGGTCCATCCCTGACCTCCATGTTTCTCCTGGCCATCTCCAAATGAGATATGGGTCTGAGAGGGCACCATACAGCTTGGGAAGTAATTTGGGAGATCCAGCGGGGGGGTCAGTGAGGGAGATCCGAGGGGTGATTTGGGAGATCAGGGGGTGATTTGGGAGCTCAGGGGCGATTTGGGCATTCCAGGGATCAGTTTGGGATACTGCGGGCAATTAAGAAGCTCAGGGAGGGCAATTAGGGATCCCCATGGCGATGCCAATCTCCATGTCCCCACAGGCACCGTGAGGTCCCCAGAGACAGATGCCCCCGAGAGCCCGGTGACATCGCCACCGCTGCCCCCATCACCCGGCCTGGCCTGGCCCTGGGGGCTGCCCCCCACACCCCCCCCGAGTATCCAGAAGCCCTACAAGTGCACCGAGTGCGGCAAGGCCTTTGGGCAGAGCTCGCACCTGATGCGGCATTTGGGCACCCACACCGGCGAGAAGCCCTACAAGTGCGGCGCCTGCGCCAAGAGCTTCACCCAGAACTCCAACCTCCTGCAGCACCAGCGCACCCACACCGGCGAGAAACCCTACGAGTGCGGCGCCTGCGGCAAACGTTTCGGCTGGAGCTCCAACCTCAGCCAACACCGCCGTCTCCACAGCGGCCAGAAGCCCTTCCAGTGCGGCCAGTGCGGCAAATGCTTTGGTGAGAGCGCCCGTCTGCTCGAGCACCAGCGCACCCACACCGGTGAGAAGCCCTACCGCTGCCCCGACTGCCCCAAGACCTTCAGCCGCGGCTCCCACCTTGCTCGCCACCGCCGCCTCCACGCAGCTGAGCAGGGGCCCGGTCCAGCCCTGGCAATGCACCGGGGGCTCTGAGGGGCTCCCCAAGGAGAGAGGAGGAGGTGGTGGAGCAGATGATGGTGCTTTTGTGGTGACTGACCACGAGGATGTGGCTTGACCTGCTGATGCCCATCATCAACAGAAAGATTCACGGAGGATCCATAACATGGTCAATGGCTGCTACAGCCCTTCTGTGGTGGCCATGGGGACGTGGTTTGTCCCTGTTGGCGCCCATCATCAATACAAAGACTTCAAGAAGATCCATGATGTGGTCAGTGGTTATTACAGCTGTTCTGTGATGGCCACATGCCCGTGGGTTGGCCCTGTCGGCACCCATCGTCAACATAAAGACTTAAGTAGGAGCCATGATGTGGCCAGTGGCTGCTACAACCCTTCCATGGTGGCCACGGGGACATAGTTTGGCCCCGCTGGTGCTCATTGTGAAAGTAAAGCCTTGGGGAGGACCCATGATGAGGCCAGTGACTCTATGGTCCTTCTGTGGTGGCCATGGGGACATGGTTTGGCTCCATCAATGCCCATTGTTGGCTTGTGGGGAACCCACGTAGGTAAAAAGCCACGGGACTGGGGACAAACGTGGACACAAAGACTTGGGGAGGACTTATGACGTGGCCGACGGCTACTGCAGCCCTTCTGTGGTAGCCATGGAGATGTGGTTTGGCCCTTTTGGTGCCCATCACCGATGCAAAGACTTGGGAAGGGTCCATGACACAGCCAATGGCTACTACAGACCTTCTGTGGTGGCCACAGAGACTGGCGCCTATTGTCAACACAAAGACTTGGGAAGAGCCCATGATGTGGCCAACGGGCATGTGGTTTTGCCCCACTGGTGCCTCCCATTGGCTCGTGGAGAAGCCACGTGGGCAAAAAGAGGTGGCATTGGGCCCGAAGGTAGACACAAAGACTCAGGGAGAACCCATGACATGGCCCAGTGGCTACTACAGCTTGTCTGTGGTGGCCACAGGGATGTAGTTTGGTCCCGTTGACACCCATCATCATCACAAAGACTTGGGGAGGTCACATGGTGTAGCCAATGGCTACTGTGGCCCTTCCATGGTGGCCACGTGCCCATGGTTGGCATCCACCATTCAGGAAGTGAGATGTCATGTGGGCAAGCAGTGGGGAGGGGGGGAATTTTTAGGGAAAAAAATTGCAATAACAGCACTAAAATGGTCCTTAAAACCCACGTGTTGATTTTCACCACCTGCCGGCTCCACCAAGTCTGTTTAACCACCCCCACCACCGCGGTTTGGGGGGAAGGAAACCACGTCACTGGGAGGGGACGAGCGGGATGGACCCCACCTCCCTCCGTCTGTCCATCTAGGGCATCAAGTCCACAGCTGGGGTGGGGTCAAAGTCCTCCAGGTTTCACCCTGGGGTGCTCAGACAGGCCCAGGGGCTTGTCCACGGGCACAGGGGAGCCCCAAAGCCCACCCCTGAGGCAGTTCAGGGGTGACAGACCCCCCGGGGCACCCTCACGCCGTGTGAGTGGGGCCAGCACCCGCAGCCTCGGCGCCTGGCCACGTTGCCAGCCCGGCTTCAGGTGGCGGCGGCCCTGGCGGTGGCCCCGGCGGTGGCACGGGGTGGGTGGCAGCGGCGTGGCGCTCGAGGAGGGTACGGTGGGAGAAACCCTTGGTGCAGAGGCGGCACTGGAAGCGCTCGGGGCGGTGGGTGCGCATGTGGACATTGAGGGAGCTCTTCTGGGTGAAGCGTTTGCAGCAGACGCCGCACTGGAAGGCGCGGACGCCCGTGTGGGTCACCATGTGCTTCAGCAGGTAGTCACGGAGTGAGAAGGAGCGCCAACAGATGGAGCACTGGTGGGGCTTCTCGCCTATAGAGAGACAACCGTGGGTCAACCTGGATCAATATGGGTCAACAGGGATCGATATGGGTCAACAGGGATCGATACGGGTCAACATGGATCAACACGGAGCAACACAGGTTGACAGAGGTCAACATGGATCGATACAGGTCAACATGGAGGAACACGCAGCAACACAGGTTGACGGGGTCAACATGGGTCAACATGGAGCAACAGAAGTTAATGGGTCAACATGAGTCAACATGGATCAACACAAGTCAATGGATCAACATGGGTCAACATGAGTCAACATAGATCAACACAAGTCAATGGATCAACATGGGTCAAAAGGGAGTGACGTCCATTAATGAGGGTCAACACAGGTAACATGGAGCAACATAAGTCAACACAGATCAAGATGGGTCAACAGATCCACAGGTAAACATGGATTAACATGGGTCAACACAGGTCAACATGGGTCAGCAGATCAATGCGGGTCAACACAGATCAACCCAGGTCAACATGGTTTCACAGGTGAACATGGATCAACACAGGTCAGCACAGGTCAACGTGGGTCAACAGATCAACACAGGTTGACATGGAGCAACACAGAGCAACATGGGTCACCAGATTAACAAAGCAACACGGAACAACATGCGTCCACACAGATTGGCATGGGTCAACACTGACCAACATGGGTCAAAATGGGTCAACACAGGTCAACATGGGTGAACACAGGTCAACACTGGATCAACATGGCTCAACATAGAATGACATGGGACAGCATAGATCAAAACAGGTCTACATGGGTCAGAATGGAGCAACAGAGAGTGACATGGGTCAACATAGATCAGCAGGGGTCAGCGTGGATCAACACAGGTCAACATGGGTCAACATTGGTCAGCACAGGTCAACACAGGTTAGCACCAATCAACATGGGTCAACACAGGTCTACATGGGTCAAAATGGAGCAACAGAGAGTGACATGGGTCAACATAGATCAACATAGATCGACATGGGTCACCGGATTAAGAAAGCAACATGGATCAACATGGGTCAACACTGACCAACATGGGTCAAAATGGGTCAACACAGGTCAACATGGGTGAACACAGGTCAACACTGGATCAACATGGGTCAAGACAGGTTGACATGGGTTGACATAGATTGACATGGGTCAACATGGATCAACACAGGTCTACCTGGGTCAAAATGGAGCAACAGAGAGTGACATGGGTCAACATAGATCAGCAGGGGTCAATGTGGATCAACACGGATCAACACTAGATCAACATGTATCACCACAGACTGACGTGGATCACCACAGAGTGACATGGGTCAACACAGAGTGACACAAGTCAACACTGACCAACGTGGAGCAACGCACGTCAACGTGGATCAACACGGAGCAACGTGTGTCAACGTGGATTGACGTGGAGCGACAATGGGTCAACACAGGTCAACGTGGGTCCCTGTTACATCCCCGTCCCCATCCCTCCACGCCCCCACCCCCCAATGTCACCATCCCCATCCCAATGTCCCCGTCCCCCCATCTCCCCCACTGCACCGTCCTTGTCCCTGCAACGTCCTCCCACCCTTCCATGTCCCCACCTCTCCCTCACCGTCCCCGTTGCGTCCCCCCACACGGAACCTGCTCCGGCCCCGCAGTCCCCTGGGGAGCCGGGGGAGCCCCATGTCGTGTCCCGTCCCCCTCCCCGCCCCGTCTGTCTCCACCGTGTCCCCCCTGCTGCGTCCCCTCACCGGAGTGGATGAACATGTGTTTGGTGTAGTTCTTCCGGGAGCTAAAGGTCTTCTGGCAGTGGCCGCACTGGTAGGAGGGCTCGGGACAGCGTGAGGGGCCGGGCTGGGCCACCTCGGGGGTCGGGGGGACACCCCCACCACTTAGCCCCACCTCCGCGCCCCCCTCGTAGAGCGGCGGCGGCGGCGGTGGCGGCGGCGGTGGCGGCGCAAAACCAAAACCGTTGCCACCCGGTGCTGCCTTGGCCCCAAATGCCGGCGGCCGGCCCGGCGCCTCCAGGCTGCAATCGGGCCCGAACTTGCCCCCGTCCTCGCCGGGCCAGGGAGGGAGGAAAGCATCGGCGAAGACCTCGGGAGCGCCGAAAAACGGGGTCTCCTCGGCGGCGAAGGGCGGCGGGGCGAAACCTTCCTCACCGGCGCTGGCGGCGCCTCCCCCTTCCTCCTCCTCCTCCTCTTCCTCCTCCTTCACCGGCAACTGGAGCCGCAGCGGTTGCCGCTGCTTGCGGCTGTGGCAGCTGGGCGCCGGCTCACTCGGACCGAATCGAACGTCGGGTTCCGACGGTACCGGCGGTACCGGCAGCGGTTTGTGACGGGGATCGGCGGGCGGC